TCTTTAAGCTGACTTCCAGCCCGAAGAGCTCAGCAGTGTCTGCAAAGCAGGATGTTAAACACTGCAGGGCTGCTTCTGTGTGGGCAACAAGGGCGGCGTCATCAGCATAGAGCAGCTCCCGGACAAGATGATTTAAGGTCTTGGTGTGGGCCTTCAGTCGCCTTAGATTGAATAGACTTCCATCAGTACAGTATCGAATGTAGATACCGTCCTGATCATCGAGGTCTGCCGTGGCCCTTTGGAGCATCATGCTGAAAAAGACTCTGAATATGGTTGGTGCGAGAATGCAGCCTTGTTTCACACCATTAGTTATTAGAAAGGGCTCAGGAAGTGCATTGCCATATCTGACTGATCCTCGTGGAGTGAGATGATCATTTTGAGGAACCTGGGGGGACAACCTAAATGTTCCAAAATCTGCCAGAGACCTTTCCTGCTCACAGTATCGAAAGCCTTGGTGAGGTCAACAAAGGTTACATAGAGACCTTTGTTCTGTTCCCTACACTTCTCTTGCAGTTGTCTAAGAACAAATACCATGTCTGTGGTACTCCTGTTGGCTCTGAAACCACATTGGCTTTCAGGTAGAATTCCTTCTCCTATAGTGGGAACAAACTGGTCTGGGGAATTTGTAATATTTTGGGTTTTTTACTATATGTATAATAAAATAAGTTATACAAGGTGAATGGTAGTCTTGGAGATCTTAATTTATTCATACAAATCTAAAGAAGAGAATGAGATTCCTGTTGAGCCTGAATAATGGCAGTCTTCAGTCATTTGGTGTCTTCTGAGACTTACTTTTTTTCAGTATTTCAAATGTCATTTTGTGTGTTAGAAAATATCAGGACTCCATCTTGTATAAATGGCATAAAAATGTAGTTTCCCTACCTTTCTTTCAAAGCCAATTAAAGTGTAAAGCTGAAATAATACAATGTGGTTAAATTATAGATCAAGCAATTGTGCAGATGTATCACTGAACCATAATCAGTCTATTTTATGCTATTATAAACTACTGAAATGTTTACTTCCTTTATAAATCAAGGAAATCTTGTTTTTATTGCAGAGAGTGGGAGGTGAGGTAATAGTGGAGTGGGAGGATAATTTAGAATAGAGGTACCTGCAACATGCAGATACAATGCTCCAGAGTATTAGGATATGTTATGTTCCTTTTGAGAAGTTGTTTGTAATGATTGTTAATAGCATCCCATAAGAGGAAGCAGACTGTAAGTATGCTCAAGCCCAATGAAAGTTGAGATATAAAGTTCAGGATCATTTGTATCAGATGAGAATCTTAATAGGAGGGCAATCAACAATTTTGTCAGGAGCTCAGTCTATAATCCTTCAATTTATTGAAATTGCGAGTGGTCTGACCTGACTATTTTGTAGAAGAACTGTATATTTGGTAGTTATCAGAAACTGAAAGGGCGATAATTTAGAAAAAATGTGGGAAAGAAGATAGTAATTCTAACTGATAATGAGACCATGTGTTACAGCCAGAATTTCTTTTCCAGCTGACATATAACAAAATGAAGAAAAATGGAAAGTAAACATTTAACTTCTATCTAATTTTTCCTTCTAGTTAGGCTGTCCTATTGTGATTTGACAGAGTTGCCATCCTTTAACTCAGCTCTGTTTATTCAGTAAACAAGAGGCTCTACCACTGCCACTGCTTCTTTTGCATCAGTTATTTCATTCTCTGGAAAGAAAACTGCCTACTTGGAACAGATTCCTTAGATTGGAACCGATTCGTATACACATTTGATCTGATACTGTAAATAACTACGCTTCACAGGGACATGCAATCTATTTTTCTAGAGCAGAACGAGCTGCTGTTTTGGGTTGAAGAGTTATCAGTTGAGGAAGGCTTTGAAAATTTGAAAGGACATATTTTGGCAAGAGAGAACAAATGAAAATAACAGAGCTACGTTCTCTGAAAAAAACCCCAAAACTATTTGCAGAAAGTTTTTCATAACAATCTGGTAGGAAATCTACCTATCAAAACAAATGCTGTCTTTTATCAAGTGGCTTCTAGACTCATTTTTGGTTTTAAAATTGTTGCTTTTTCTGCTTCTGGTTTCACTAAGGTAAAAAGGTTAGCAGTGTTGTAGCAAAGTTTGTGGGGTTTTGGGGCTGAAATGTTGACACTGAAATTCGTGTAAAATTTATCCATACTCTGTGTGTGTACATATGTATATATATGTGATATCTGATGGCAACATCAATGAATGAAGGAGTATAAAAACTTGATTTTTAAGGAATTTTGGTGTTATTTCATCAGGTAGCTTTGAAGAATATTGGAAAAGGTGACAGAATTAAATGCTGCTTTGCCAGCCAGGCTCCCAGTTAAAGAAGTGTGTCGAAAATGTGATGTTAGACATAATGAGCAATGTGATAGCATTTAGATATGGCAAATTTAGTGGCTTCTTAAAACAAAAGCCTTTCCTCAGAGCAGGTGTGTCTATGAACATATGACTTTAGAAATGGATGGGAAAATGTTTACCTGCTGTATTTTACTTAGTAAAAATAGTAGCAACCCTTCTGCTTCATCTGATCTTTTGCTGTGTTACAGCTCTCCTTACCCTCCCCTCTCCACCTATGCAAGTTCAGGATCACTTCAATGTCTGTTCTCTAGTTGGAGTTGTAGGAAACTGTGTTTCTGTTGTGGATCTGCATTTAATAGTTGGGCTGCTTATGCCAGCTTAATCAACACTTTTCTCCTCATCATAACTCTCTTCCTTGGTTATTATGTAACCAGCTTTGTATTATTCTGCCTTGAATCAGTTAATATATTCAAAACCACTAGGTATCTAAGAGGTTTCCCACACTTATCCCATGTGTATACAAAAGACAAAATAACTTCAGAAAAATAAGTGCTTTCCAAGCAGTGAAGTACTAGATTGCACTGTCATGTATATCATCAAATTAAAACAATTTTACTATCTGAGTCTTTGATTAGGACATTCAGAAATATGTATATTTCTTGGGATATGCAAGTTTCATATGATATGGAGTCTCAGCAGATCCAGTGGGCTGTTCGTTGAAAGGACATCCACCAAGAAATGTAAACGTCTTTTGTACAAGACATGGAAATCTCTTGTAAATGGAAGTAAACAGGTTCAATATAAACTTTGACCCAAATGGATCATTAGTTGCAGCCTACAGATTCTTTTTCAAATCATTAACTGCATCTCATGTTGTCTTGCAAAGAAAGAAATCGAGGCTACCGCTTAATGAATCTTTCTTTAAAATAGACCTGACAGCCAAGCTTCTTACAATTGGCCAATTTATGAGTTAGAAAATGGTTTAATTTAATTCAACCACTAGGGCTTTGTAAATGAGCATATATGTATATATGTGCTATGTGCAGTAGAAAAATTGTCAGATGTGTTATATACTTCATTTACTGTAAACTCCCAGCTGTCCTGCCTGTATTTTGCCCATTAATCTGTCATGGACTTTACCACTTAGACACATGTTTCTAAAAAGCCCAAATAATTATCTTATTTTCTCTATAAAAATTAACTTGTCATATGAATAATAATTTATTTATTTTTTTTTTTACAACCAAGGATGAATTTTCCTTAGTCTGTGTATTGTATTGTGTTGCTGTGCATGCACAGCCAGACAAACACAAGTATGCTGTTACTCCCACCCATTGTCAAATCCAGGATAATATTTTGTTCTGAGTGCATGATGGATTTCTGGTTTGTATCTTTTGGTCTACCTGGTTTTAAAAATGAAAGATCTGTGCTATGTATATATAGCAATACACAGAAGTACATGTCTGCTATAAATCAGTGCTTGATTTTTTTATATAAAACTTAACCTAATAGATTTGCCTCATCAATTAAACAGGCAGCATTAAGCCATCATTATGAGTGGCTATTTTTTTCCTCCCAAATAAATGCCGATACAAATTTGTAACCCCACGTGTTTTCCTGACTTTCTTGGGACTTTTTAAAAAGTAAAATCCTTGGAAAAGTCTACCATATTTATTTTTTCACCGTAAAACCACAGGTGACATTAACATTATCAAAGGACGAATTAGGAAAAATAGGACTTTTCTTGTTATTTAAGTCACTGTATAGATTTACAGGATGGCAAAGCACACTTGCGCTGGGCAGCGCGGGAGCGGGAGGGACGGGGAGGCTCCCTAAAATGCTCGGCGTGGGCCACACCTCGGGAATCCTTTGTCCGGAGGACTGGGTTTTCCACTGAGGGAAAAAGCGGGAGCTGCTTTTCGGTTGGTTGGGTGTTTTTTTTTGTTTGTTTTTTTTTTTTGTTTGTTTGTTTGTTTGTTTGTTTGTTTCGGTCGCCTCCTTTTCTTTTTTCCTGAGGGGAGGTTTTTCCCCACTGGACACCTCGTGGAGGATGACTGAGAGAGAGCGAGGGACCCATCTCGGAGCGAGGTATTCTGCCCTCGAGGCGTGAGGCTGCATTATCAGAGATGCCTGACCTGGGACTGCCTGTGGAAAAAAGGACTTTCATTGCTGGCTGTGAAGCCACCGGCCGCTCACCTGGCTGCGAGCAGCTCTTGAGCTGCCGGGAACAGTTTTTGCCTTCAGCCCTTCCCCTCCCTCCCCCCACCTGGGGAACTGGGTCTTTGTTTTGTTTCTTTTGAAAATTTTGATTGCACCATTTGTTGTTTATTCAGATTTTGTTAATGAAGAGCTGTTCTTTTCCTTTTCCACACTTTTCGCTTGAAGCTGCCTAATTTCAAAGTTGTAATCTTGTTAAACTGAGACATGGGGGCTTGGGGAAGAAGGTGGGAACTAGACCAGACAGGGATGTGAATCCTGTTGCTGTCCTACCCTCTGTGTTTGGATTGGCAGCATGGTATGGAGCTCTGTCAGGGCTCTGGGTGTTGCTGGTGTTGAAGTTGCTGTAGGACAGTTACCCTGACAACAGGGTAATTTAGGTTCCAAGGTTCCATGTGGCTACATCCACCCTTTTTTCCATAAGTTGGAGTGTGAGCAGACAATAGGACAGCCCTGGTAGTGCGGGTGTCAGCTTTTGCTGGGAGCTTCTACAGGCAGCTGGGTGCAAGCCATGATCTGCACAGAATAGGAGCTACAAACAAATTTTCTTTGGTGTACTGTTACCTTTCTCTTTCCTCTATTTAGTCAAGGAACTTGGCTCAGAGAAAGCAAACTCTTTCACCCTGATGTGACATGAGAATGTCTGTACTAGGGGGGTCAGAATAGCTGTGAGGTTTATGCTGTATCCCATCTCCAGGAGAGGCCAATAGCAGATGCTTAGATAGAAAAAATCAGCAGAACAAACTTATAGTGCATTCCATTTTTTTTATCCTTCCTTTCCCCAGCAATTTGATAGGTTTCACATATTTTACAGATGGATATCTTCAGAATGGTATTCTCTTCAGAAGAGAAGGAAGGTGACAGTGGAGGCTTTTATTTATCTATTTTATATTTTATATTTAACTTCCTCAAATGCTACCCTGATAATTGAGTCATCAGTTCTCTGAGGCAGAGTTTTTCATAATTTAATCTTATTTTGCAGTTGTAGTTTGATTAATATACTAACTACAATAAAGGTGAGAGCAAGAAACTTTAAATGTGTATGTTTTGTTAGTTAATTTTCCCATTGAAGAGTTAGATCTTTTTCTCCTTCAGTCTTTTTCAGAACTGCCTATTTAAATTTAAATAAGATGTTATTACTGGTTGTTCAGTTGTGTAATTTTAACTCACATTTATTTGATACTTTTTCTATGATACTGCCCATGCTCCCACATGATTATTAAACATGTGATTTAAAATTGTAGAGAATTATTGGACAATGACTGATGACTATTAGAATGGAAGTTTTGTATATTACCATTATTTTATATTTAAGCTTGAACTGACAGCAATGTAAGCCAGAAATATTTTGACATTTGATTGTCTTTTTCGTGTTTTGGCTGATTGAAATGGTCGTTTGCTTGGAATGGCATTTCTGTGGAAGTCTATGGTATAGTAACTCGAAGCACTAATCAATCTGGCAATTTTAAGAGTTCTTTCAGGCATCTCTGGGTGGAATTTGAGTCACTTTGATGATGACTGGCAGAGCAGAGGAATAGTTGCACCATCAACTTCATTGTTTCTTTGTGGCTATAGAAGATAAACCAGTCAGTGATTACCTTGAATGAATGGCTACCTACCATATTAAAAGCCTCACCATCCCCTTTTTGGTTCTAAAATGTTAACTCGCATAGTGATTTGTTTCTAAGTCTGCAAGAAAAGAATGATTTAGCAGTGTGGGGAGATGATTCAGGTGTGCATAAGCCCACACAGGGGACGAAAAAGGTGGCCGGGGTTCTGGCATGACAGATGGGATGGAAGACTGGATGAACTTAGTATGAAGCAGATGGGGGGGGAAATGGGGGATGGGGATTTTGAACCCTCCTCAATATGGTGAGGGAAAAGTGATGGCATGTGCAGCTGAGAGGATGAAGGTTACTCAGTGGTCTTTGGGTAGAAGAGAGAGAGTGTGTCCTGCAGAGGCCAAGAAAGTGGAGAGATCCTTGGGCATGTAAAATGTTATCATCTAGTTTTATTTTAAACAAGGAGCATGATATAACAAAGGCTAGTAGAAGATAGCAGATTTCAAACTGGAATACTTCTCAAAACCAATGTATCAGCTTTTGAGATTTTCAGATGGTTGAAGTAAATGAGTTTGGACCACTTCTTAAAAACATGGATCTGGAAGTCTCTTACTTGTTGTGTAAAAACAGATGATGCTGCTGAGATACAGCAGTGGCAGTGACAGTGAGTAGAGACTGCTGCTGAACTGCTCATTGTTTGTCCTTTTTTTCCTGAAAGACTTGTCAAGAAGACTAGCAGATTTTTATGCAAATGGAATCTAAGTTAGTTTGTTCCAATTCTTCTCTTACGATTTGACGACATTGCTCAAGTCCAAAATGTTTTGTAGTCCTGTTTGAAGCTGGACATTTTTTACCTGTTTCAGCTTTTAAAGAAGTCTTATGGCTCTGCCTGATATTTGAGGCCCACAGAGTTCGTGAACCACAGTGTTTGTCTGTGAGGAAACAGGTATTTTGACTTTTTGTTCTGTGTTACAGCTTTGTAGTTATATTTTATTATAAAGTACGGGTTTGCATTTTCTCCCATCTGAAAACTGTCTGAAGCCAGGCAGTTACTTTTTATTGATTTCCTATACCTTTAGGTGGTCCTCACAGATTTCTATTTTTTCTACTTTTTTTTTTTTTTCTTTTTAGAAGCTGCATTAGCCTGTACAGGATGCAATGAATGTATGGCAAGTGTAATGAGTATAGAAATATTTGATACTTTTGATGTTAAAATTGTGTCAGTGAAATTTTAAAGACTTGGCAAACTTTAAAGAAATGTGTGCAGGCTCTTCCAAAGCATTATTATGTAACCTAAACTTTGTGCGTAGAATGTCTTTTTACTCGAAAGTTAAAAAGAGTAATTGAAGCTTGCAGAAAGGAGTCAGGAAAACAGTGTAACTCTAGATGCTTCTGGTGGCTGTGTGTATGGGATTGTTTTTAATGATCTGTAGGTTGCAAATAGTTGGAAAATTTTCTCTTTTACTTCACTGAAAAGAACAGCTTGCAGCAACGGATACATTTTACAGTTGCATCAAGTGTGCAATTACTAAGCAAGGATGAGAAGCCTGACAGTTTCACTTCTTAGCAAAGCTGACCTCTGGAGGATTTTGTTAAAGGAATTTCACTTTTTTAACAACTGAACTGAAAAAAAAAAATCTCATATTGAACAGAGCCAGCTAATTGTATTGCTAACCACATTCCTGCAAATCTTCAGGAATTTCTTGAAGAAATCAATGTAGTTTATGCAGTGTTATTTGATAGTATTAGTACGGTTCCCTTTGTTCTAAATGCAATGTGAATTATCACACTACTCTCTCTCCTCATTTATGGGTGCAGTCCTCTTTCTTACCTGGATGTAGTTATGACATATGTATTAACCAGAACAGTTCCATGGCTCCTCAGTCTCTACAGATTCATAAACAAATGTCATGGCACAAGGAAAGCTCAATCTGTCAGGAGTGTAGAGCTCTTGTGGAAAACCAAAATGTCTTTTCCTTTATTTTATATAACCCCCTTCTTTCTGTAATATCCTAATATATTTTAAAATACTGGAAATTGTGTACAGTATATCAAACCTTAACACAAAGTGTGGTGGACTACTTTTGCCATGCTTTTTTCATTAACATAGATGCTGTGACAGGATAAAGGAAGAGCACTACATTAGGAATAGAGTTTCTATCTAAAAAACCAAAACAGCCCTCCTTCCAACTAACCAAACACCCTGCTGAAAAACAAACAAAAAACCTCACTAAAATCTAAAGCATTGAAAAAATACTTAGTTCAATGCTGTATTTGGAGTATTTTTATTGGTTAAAAATAGCAATTTTCAGTAATTATATATTCTCAAGATAATTTATTTTTTTACTGGAAAATGTAAATATGAACATTACTGGATAGACACAAAGAATAAGAGTCAAAAGGAAGCTGACATGTTTTCTAGAATAGAATCAAAAGAGATTTTCAATAAAATATGAAAGTTAGTTTTACTTAAACTATCTTTTTAATTATTGAAACATCCTATTTAGTTACTGAAAAGAGTGAAATTCTGTAAATGAGTACTGCCTATTTCTGTCATACACATGGCACCTTTCTTCTTACCTGGGAAGTCCGCAAGCTTTCTATTTATATTCTATGGTGTATATAATATAGATTATTTTTATATATACATATACAATATATTTTCCTGGATGTTAAGAAGTGGTATCTAAACACAAGTATGTGGAGAAAGGCCTTTTTCTGGATGTTGTCCATACTTTTTGTAAGTCTAATGCAGATAGTTAAGTTATAGTTCACAACCAGTGAGTATTATTTCCAGATCCTCTTATTCCCCCTACCCCGTCTGTTGGGGCAGGGGTAAAAAAAGACTGAGATAGGCTCTTCTCAGTGGTGCCCAGTGACAGGACAAGGGGCAGTGAGCACAAATTCAAATACAGGATATTCAATTTAAATGTAAGAAATTTTACTACTGTGAGAGTGGTCAAAGACTTCCAGATCGGTATGCCCAGAAACCCTATGACATCTCTATCTTTGGAGACATTTAAAACCCAACTGGACACATCCATGGTCAACATGTTGTAGTTGGCCCTGCTTTCAGCAGGGGGCTGGACTAGGTGACCTGCCAGCATCCCTTCCAACTTCAGATATTCTGTGTACCATTTTCATTTTATTTCAAACAACATTTTGGTTGCATTTCCTCTCTTGATTCCCATGTTTCTACACTGTCTTTTCAGACAGACTCGAGAGAAATTTCAGTGCATACCGAAAAGCTTTGTTGTTGAAGGGCTTAACACTGCTTCTTTCATATAGAGCAGTTAAAAGTTGCCATTAATTGAGAAGTATAGTGTAGCAGCAAAATACATATAGGGATTTAACTACAAGTTTTGGAAGCTTGGGAGTCATAACTAACTATTCAGCTGTCAATTTTATATGTTATGCTACAAGCACGGCTAAGCTTTCATGCTAACATTTTGTACAGATCATATTTTTTCTCTATAAAGGGTTTGCTGTATTGTTTTCAATCTGCCAGCTGGCAATAGAATTTATAAGGCTGGACTATTTGCTCGGCTAAAGAGTATATTCACATTGACAGGGTCTAAACTCCTTTCCAGAGAGTCTACAGTTTAGCCATCCTTAAGGACAGTACAACTACACTGTTCAGTGTATCCATTATCAAAAAATGATGGCACCTCATTAATTTTTGGCATGGGGAAAGAGAGACTCATTATTATTAGGATAATAAGCTGTACCAAACTGATGCAATTGATGTTAAGTATTGTGCAAGAAGAAACTGCTGCTTAAATAGTAGGATTAATTAGTGTTTATTGTAAAGGGTTGGTGTATTCTCTGGGCAATGCTGTATCATCTGGAAATATTTAAAATAGAGTCTATTATGATCATAGCGAAGCATCAAAAAGTTAGGAGGACTTTGAAATGATAATAGCTTGCTAGGTAAAATACCTCACTGAATCAGAACTGAAGTAACAAGTGTTAGTTCAGTTTTTTACTTACAT